GAAAACACGTGTACGTTTGACTGGTCAGCATAATGCACTGTACGTTAAATCTATAAGTAGAAAATATAGCATAAGCATCAAAGCATTTCCAAGATGTAATATTTTCTAACATTGCAAAATGAATAAGTATTTTACGGCAAATATCATTTTACTCTCTACATCAGCAGTGCTGAGCTAAAATCACTTTGGATATATATATATACAGAATCTAGTATATCTTAGCTAACCAGCAATGCTTGTTTATCGCATCATATTTATTTACTGTCTTTAAGAAATATAACGCTGCTAGGTTTACCAAGTACCAAAATTGCCCCATCTTATATATTTCGATAAAAATTAAAGGTGTATAGTACAAGCAGCGTACTAGCATTGGTTATTCGTTATCCTTAACAACCTACCAGCAGGTAGTCGGTAATTCGAACTTTGCATGTCCCCCCCCACAACAAAAAAACAAACAAAAAAAAACAACAACAACAAAAGCAAAAAAAACAAGAACCAAACAACAATAGCCACCACAAAAAATACTTCTTTCCAGGAATAAATTTAATGGATATATAGCAAGATAGATGTACTCTTCACGATTGAAACACATTGTCTCACTTTGTCCACCAGGAGAAGTGGATATTGTAAAATATGCTGATCATTTAAACTTGTAGTGAAAATTGCTGAAACTTATATTAAATATATATAGAAATTTTTTTCTACACATAAATTTTGTATTTTTTAACAATGTAATATAACAAATCCTACTGTAAAATCAATATTATTCGTGGGGCACGCATTTTCGTGGTTTTCGTGGGTAGGTCAATCCACGAATTTAAGATCCGACGAAATTTTATACCAACAAATACTTCTTTACCCTGTCTCTGTTCTATATATTACAAACATGCGTCGCTCTTTTCCGGTCTATTTTCGTGAAATGAATGTATATACATACCGTACAGATAATCAGGTTAGTGACAGATTAAAAATCCGTTTGCAATATTTAGGCAATACTTAAGAAACTTGATTCTATGACCGCAATTTAATGTCACAAATGCCGGTCGCATATACACACTTGATCGTTGTAAGAATACTTGATATAATCGAGTTAATATGGGAACCCAGGCAATTCAATAATTAGTGCTTATAAAAATGTCAGTTTGCTCTGATAATTAAGAAAAGTATTTGATATTAATGTCGTAAGTACATAAAACTTTAAAAAATAAAATCGCTAAAACAGATGAATTGTACATTAAATGATCCAGTTTAAATGAATTTTAATCTGTATATGTGCGAATGCTACTACGTAAACATCAAAGACGCCACCGACTTTTTCTAGATCCACACATACTGATTAATTATATGCTATTATATATTATTATATATTACATTAATTTATATGCTGTGACGTCTCGTGCAGTTACTGCCAAAGATGGTAATATATGATAAACAAGATCGACAAGGAAAGGCGGCGTTCAATGAACGCAAGACCAATTTAAGGTGTAAACTTTTTAAAACGTGTCAGGTTTACATAGGCGAATTACAGGGGCAGTGTGTCTAATTGAGGTGCATATTTTAGTAGTATATATTGGGCAGTGCTGACCAGTTAGATTTATTAATGAACTATCTTTTTATTTGTCGGGAAAACTTATGAAACAATGACCAGTTAAATATAAGGATTGTTTTTTTGTATTTCACAGACTGTTTATAACATAGTCACCCTTAGGATTTTCCATTACAAAATGTTATTTTTGTACATATTTTTGTATATGAATATAATTTGCTTTTTATATAAATAATAAACATTGTTGTTTACATTTTTTACATCTTTAAATGTCAACATCACATAATTTTCATCTGAAATCTTTCGACTATATTAAATTCTGGAAACAAATTGATCCCTCGGAAGCATTAATCACAAGAAAATAACATAAGAATTGCAGACTCGGTTTGATTGTGTCTGTACATGAGGGATAATGAATAAGTGCAACAACCCTCACGCCCCTAGCACCGGCTTGAGTGGTACTCAATTCTCAACACTTTATAGTGTTGGCATCAATGATGCCGAAGGACCAGAAAATATAACAACACTGAAGTGAAGTACGGGGCAACTTTTACGGCTGTAACACGGCACTTGACACCTGCTGTTGTGAAGTACAAAATTCTGGAAACAAATTAATCCCTCGGAAGCATTAATCACAACAAAATAACATAATAATTGCAGACTCGGTTTGATTGAGTCTGTACATGAGGGATAATGAATAAGTGCAACATCCCTCACGCCCTCTAGCATCGGCTTGAGCGGTACTCAATTCTCAACACTATATAGTGTTGGCATCAATGATCCCGAAGGACCAGAAAATATAACAACACTGAAGTAAAGTACGGGGCAACTTTTTACGGCTGCCACACGGTACTTGACACCTGGTGTTGTGAAGTACAAAATTCTGGAAACAAATTGATCCCTCGGAAGCATTAATCACAAGAAAATAACATAAGAATTACAGACTCGGTTTAATTGAGTCTGTACATGAGGGATAATGAATAAGTGCAACATCCCTCACGCCCCTAGCACCGGCTTGAGCGGTACTCAATTCTCAACACTTTATAGTGTTGGCATCAATGATCCCGAAGGACCAGAAAATATAACAACACTGAAGTGAAGTACGGGACAACTTTTTACGGCTGCCACACGGCACTTGACACCTGCTGTTGTGAAGTACAAAATTCTGGAAACAAATTGATCCCTCGGAAGCATTAATCACAATAAAATAACATAAGAATTGCAGACTCGGTTTGATTGTTTGATTAAAATACCGGAAGGCGATAGTCGACAATGCGATATTGCCATAGCGACAAGACGACACTAATTATTACTGTCAGTCAAGTGTCGCTTGAATATGTAAGTATGACTATTAATACATGTAATTGTAAATCATTCTTAACATTATCCCTCGTGTACATACATATTCAATCAAACAGAGTCTGCAAATTAGCCCCAGTAACATTATTATCGAATAAACTGAAACTAAACTTATTTTTATTTTCTAGTTGGATGGTTCCAATATTCCTACTTGAATAATGTTGAATCACTCTAAGGATATTTTGCCTGCTTTTTAACTTTGTCTTTTGACGTCTTATCTGTGATATGCAGGGTTTTTAACCTGTGATCCCCTTTCAAAATTCCAGTTTGTTTACTTCAGCCCATTGTTTCTCGTTTAAGGCACACGCTTTTATTACTTGGGGACCGTACTTCGCCTTTCATAGAATGACACTTCATTGAAGGTTCAATGATAATGGCCGTTTGAACACATCTGTGGATGTCTCTAAATTCAATTTTGTTTTTCCATTTAATGTTAAAATGTTGAATTCTGCTTAAGAGGGTGCTAGCGGGCCTGGACAGTAGTTTTGCACTTGACAGTACTGTCCTTGAACAGGCTCAATCAAACCGAACATGCAACATTTTCAACTTGTTGGGCTTTCTTTAGAGATTATTATTTTCTCTAGGGATTATTAATTTATCTATTTCATCGCCTCATCAGCGTTGTTTTGTGCCGTGTGGAGGCTGTTAAAAGTTGTCCCGTACATTCAATCAGAGATGTTATATTTTCGACCATTAAAGATCGTTCAGCACGACAATTTTGTTGTGTTTGTGGTATTTTTAGTTTAAACTATTTGGCTTTTTCTAGATTGATGGTTCAATTATTTCTTCTCGAAAAATGTTGAATAACCCTTAAGATATGTTGCCTGCTCTTTAATTATGTCCTTGACGTCACATCTGTGATATGCAGGCTCGTAACCTTTTTATTACTCGGGGACATGCATGAGGGATAATGAATAAGTGCAACATCCCTCACGCCTCTAGATATTATAGCACAGAAAACAATAAAATAAGATAATTAAAATCGGAAAATTGTACATTATATACTTTTAACAGATAAATTACAAAGGTCAAGGGCTTAATTTACGATCTTGATTGTGATTTGAAAGTACAAAAAATACAACAATTCTTGTTTTTCGAATGTTCGTATTCGGTAGTGTTTCGAATATTCAAATATAATTCCCGGCCCTATATTAATTCTTGAATCAATTGTGGCTTACATTTTCAATATGCATATCCACGAAATTACATGACGAGGGAACCACCGCAAAAAATAAATAATAATTAACCTTTCTTTCTTTGTTGGACTTGTTTATCATATTTGTCAGAAAAAGTTTATAGAAATTATCGATTGAAAATATGTGTTTTTATTTAATGCAAATGTTGAGTACTCTTTAAGGGCGATAACTTTTCCATTTTCGCTTAAACTAGAATATTTATATCTTAAATTGATAGTATCCTAAACAAATGATAATTTCGCGCAGGGTTGATTCCGTATAATTTGATGATGGGTGTCTGAATTCTTACACTCCTGCCAATCTAGGTAAATATAGAACCATCAGAATAAAATTGAAAATTAAAACATTCCACAGACTATTTTGTTACACTACTACAACATCTTACAAAAAATGACTTTATTTTTCTATGGATAGCAAATAAATATACCCATTACTCATTATACCAAGATTTTACGCATTTTTGGGACTAGCCGTTGTTAAGGGCCGTGTGGGTTAGGGGCGAAACGTCCTGTTTGCTCGAGGTGATCTGGTTGCGTTTAACGGAATCTTTTACAAATAGCAAGGTTATAAGGGTGCCCTCCATAAGGATTATTTAAATGACTGCACAATATTACACTCCCATTCGTCTGAATTGTCCTCCGTTGGAACATCATGATCAAAGTTTTCTAAGTCCTCACAAGTGTATCTGAAATGTTGAACAAGCACATTAAGGGGTACATCATCATCATCATCAAACTCATCATCATTAACAAGATTATCAGAAGACATCTCAAAATGTGTGGAGCTAAATCCCGATGACTTAAAACACTTCACTACTGTGTCAGTCTTAACACTGTCCCATGCTTTTACAACCCAACCGAAAGCATCAAGAAGAGACACGGTTTTACAAAGTTCAGTCACTAACTCAGCACTATCCATTTTACTGAACAGTGATCTCAACATTGACTTCCTGTAGCACGCTTTGAATGTTCGGATTATACCTTGATCCAATTGTTGTAGTTGTGATGTCGTGTTGGCTGGCAAGAACTTGATTTCTACGTTTGATAAAGTATAATATTCTTGTTTTCCATGTGATGAAGCATTGTCTAACAGCATGAGAATTTTGCGACCTTGTCTGCGCATGTCAGAGTTTAAATCCACAAGCCAGTCAGTAAACACCTTATTGTTCATCCATGCTTTTTTATTAGCCACATACTTTACACCCAGTTCTGTTTTTTTGACATTCTTAAAACACCTTGGATTTTCAACTTTTGTAATGACTAATGGTCTCAATTTTTCACCAGACGCGCTACAAGCAAACATAACGGTAATCCTATCTTTTGACACTTTAGTTCCTTTTGATGCTGTCCCTTTCACAGATAACATTTTATCTGGCAAAGCTCTAAAATACAATCCAGTCTCATCACAATTGAATACGTCATCCAAAGAATAGTCACCAATGATTTCAGGAATTTGCGATTTGAAATTTTTTACAACATCAGTATCTACACCAGCACTTTCTCCAGAAACTTTAAATTCTTTAATTGAATGGCGCTCTTTCCACTTATCTAACCAACCATTAGAAGCTTTGTATTCAGTGATTCCAAGTTCTTGAGCAAACTGAAGTGCTTTCTCTTTAATAATTGGACCAGAGAGTGGCATATTTTTAGCACGTACAACACAGAACCATTGCCACACAAGATCATTCAAGCGTTCATACTTTGCATCATAACCAATACGCATCTTACTGGGGGAAGCATTACACTCCCAATGTTTCTTGTAGGTTTCTTTCTTTTTCAACATGTCTGCTACTGTTGACTTTCCTATGCCATACTTTTCAGAAAGTACCTGAAAAAAGAAGAAAATATTAAAATAGTGCAATTTTTGTTTATAACAGAAATTCAGTAAAACACAAACATTGGTATTTCATTTCAACAGAAAATAAAACATTTCATGTAGATCATTCATTTAAAAAGAAAAACAATCTTCACAAACCTTCAATGTTGGTTTGGGGACCATTTCAGACTCACGAATTATCTTAATTTTGTCCTCAAGGGACAGCTCAGTTCTACGACGTTTAGAAGGTGTTTCGTTCATTATGACTATGAAACTAATGCAAATTTCTGAAAAGACCATTATTTAAAGATTGTTCTGTCTTCATTTTAATCAATTAAAGTTTGCTCATTTTTATCTTACCTGCAAATGCCTTTGAATTTCTATCAGTTTGTAGAAATGTTGATAATTGCATAAACTTACATATTGTCCGATGCTATTTAATTAATTATAACATCAACTGCAATAAAATCCTTAAAGAGGTTTGATGCATACATTAACCCAATTAATTGTCATTTAATCCGCTAATACACACTTCAAATTAACTGACCGCCGTAAATTACTTCAATTAACCGCATTACTTCAAACATACCATTTCACAGTTTGTGATTTTAACGCGTGTCAAATTACACGATCACCGCTAATTATTAAACAATCGACAGGGAGATTAAATCTTCCTGCAGGGTAAACATTCACGATTTTCAGTGTATTTCACACCTTTGGATATGTCCGGTTTTCGGAGGTAAAATTGCATTGATTTGACTCTAATTTTACGAAAATATCGTCCGGAATTCAGAATTTAGAAGTTCCGGAATTCAGAAGTATTATATTAATAGAAAATAGAAGGGAAAAAATCTGGACCGAACAAATTGTTCGGTTTTTAGAAGTTTCAGGATTTCAGAAGTTCCGGAATTTGGAAGTTACACTGTTGTACAGTATGATGTCATTGCATATCATTTTTTTCTACAAATGCAATCTTGTTTAACTTTCAGTTGAAACATTTAAAAATTAAGATCATTATCTACCTTATACATGTATCTATGCAGATAAGAATACTGAACCCAGGTCCTGCAAATTTGAAATTTCAACTTTTCCCAATAGATTTACTGCCTAATTAAGAATATTTTGGATTTTCCCAGATGATCAGTGGGTATTATATCAAAATATCAATATGAACATAAAAATAATTTTGTAGAATACTTTTATCAATAAAAATACTGCTGAAAAGTAGAGATGTTGGTGGTTGTACATAATGGTCAAACTAAAATTATGTCACTCTTAATTGAGCTTATTCATAGTTGACAGTGGTTAATACTTGCTATTCTATCTTTAGCAGAACTCAACATTTCAGATCATGCAAAACACTACAATTGGTAATTTATATATATATGTAGAGAACATCACTTTTTGTCATTATTTGGTTAGGAGCGGAAGCGGAACTTTAAAAAAAAAAAAAGATTTTTGGAATAGAAATAAAAAACATAAGTGCAGCTTCAGAATTTGTTGGTGCAAACACTACTGTAAGTAAACTTACATTAGGTTTTGCGCCAGTGTTTTACAGATAAGTTGAAAATTATATGTTGCGAAAAGTATTGTAACTTCATTAAAATAGTTCAGTATAGTATTTTTAAATAGCAAAATTATTTCTAAATTATAAATACATATAAATTTACTTGCGGAAGTAACATATAAAGAACATGTTTCATTTTAATTTAACAAAGGATAGAGAGCTAGGAATTGTTCAGTTTTTAAATTTTGTTGATATCTTGAAATGGTTCAAGTAATATAAGAGCTGTCATTGATTCGGTGAAAAGCAAATTTAAAATGAAAAAGTATTGCTGATACACAGATATATTGATATTTTCATACTTTAAGTATCAACTACTTGTCTCTTATTGTTTTCCATAATTGTTTATATGCTTTTGAGTAGAAACATGTTTTTTCATAAATGTGTCCTGTTTCAAACAAATACCCATTGCGCGATTTTTGCTAACAGTTTTTTGTCAATATGCTTCTGCATGATAATGTTTTGGTTGAGTTTTCATAATTCTTAGACATTCAATTATCGATTTACTGAAATGTGTACCTTCTGAAATGTAGACCAATCAACGGAAAAATATAAACGATACATCAATATTATTTCTATCGATAACAGTCTAAGTATTTTTTTTTCAATTTGTTACTCAATTATGTATTATAAAAATAAAGATAAATACACTTGTTTAAAAGAACATTCTTATTGCATTATATAAGGAGAAATGTATTATAAAAATGTAACTGTGATTACAATATATATAGCCTTGGAATGAAACAGTTGCTAACATTGGTTTATCTTTACTATTTTATTTTCTATAAAAATCATGGCAAACAAAGGCATGTAATCTGCTTCAATAATATTGGTCAAAACCATAATTGCTAGTATGTTATATATTTGGTGCATCTACATTTCCCGTACAATCATACATATAGAATGTGGTCATAAAAATAAGAATAACTGACAGTTAATTCCCTATGTTGTGCATGTCAATTAGATGACAATAAATTTCATTCTGAGTTACCCTCTGCTGATTTTGTACATTAAATGGGTGTCACTTGATATTTGTATGGTTTGCAAAATTGTCACATTTTATGTGTGTATGCATTTGGACCTCAGTTTATTTTCTTCAATAATTAAGTGCCAAGTACGTTTTCTTTTTCTTTTTTGCATTGAATAATTTTATTCCAATAATAAACATGTATGTGGATAATTGTCATGAAATATAAGTAATGGATATAAATAACCACTAACTAATGTAGTGTTTGAAGATGTTTTTTTTATAAACAGTCGATTTAATAGTTTAAATAGTTTGCCGATTTACAAGAGATACTCAAATCAATTCAAATACTGCAATCCATATGAACACACTTTGTCATCAAAACTAGCAGTTTTATAAACAAATAAGCGTTTGAGTCCTCACTGAGAATAAAAAGATGTACGAGGTTGCTAAACATTCTACTTTACTCGACAAGAAATAGATAGATCCATCCAAAATTATCTAGATGTCTAATTAGTTGGAATAATTCTATGCCATTTTCATCTGAAGTTCTTATCAACGTTTTAACTAAATATCGTATATATTTTCTTTATTAACTTTCAAGGATGTGTACGATATTATAACGATAAACATAGTAAATTCATGATGAGCTGACCTTATTTTTCAAGGTACGAACATTACAGTGAACGAACACCATTTACAGACATGGATCTGCATGATTATATCTTTATCACATGCCAATAACATTCTTAATACAGTAGCATAATATTTACGTTTATATTTTCAAAGGCGAAATTATTTTATAAGAGCTAGTAAGACCGAGAAATAAATTAAACGCAAACAAAACTGATGATAACCTTTTCATCAGAAATGTATCAACTCAACGGTCGCTTTCGACTTAAATTTCCATTTTCAGTGTTATCTACCGACTTGATTCACTATCCAGGTAATTCATTTCTCCTTTTCCTTTCCGAATCTGAAATTTTCTTCTCGAGCATTTCACATCTTTCGAACTGTCCTGATAATTATTCATATATATCAATCACATGAGCCCGATCCGAACATTTACGGTAATAATCGAAGGGCTTCCATCAAATTTTAATTTTTATCTGACATACCCAGTCAAATAAGAAAATGCATTTTTTAGAATGGTCAGAAATGTTACGGAAAGCGTTTCTAAATTGAAAAAAGAAACTGTGTCAATACTTGTTAAATTGTGCATTTAATAATAAGAATTAGGTGTTAATTTGACAATTTATTAAGATGAATTTTGCCAGGAAAAAACTTGAATAATTGAACGACCATCAATATACAGTAGTAGTAGTTGTAGTAGTATCTTTATTTACATTTCATCATTGCATATACATGATAAAACATACATATATCTTTAAAAAAAAAATGCAATGCCATTCCATATGGAATTTTAACAGATAGTCGTGAGAAATTACATTAAAATCTAACAGGTTATCTTAACTAGGCATGGAGTTAAGATACTTTACAAGAAAAACATAAAACAATTATTTCTAGTAAAACATATATCATCATAAAATAAAAATAGCACGAATATCAAAATCGAAGCACATGCATTTAAGAGGTTTCTGAAATAGATACAAAATATAAGGTAATACAAAAATGAAACATTCAACATATATTGTAATATTTTATTTACAAAGTTTAAAACGAAGTCTATCTAAAATATTTTCACAATTTTTGGCACAATATCGTATTATTTTTTGGCTCTTTTTGGAAAAGAAGTAAGTCTTATATCAGAACCCTGCATTTCAGAGAACAAACTGTCATGATCTATTGCTCTAGAGTACATATCTACTCTTAAATCATCATAAACCTTACAATTGAACACAAAATGTATTCATTTTCAACTGAATAATCGTTACGAAAAGGACATATTCTATCTTCCATGCTCAGACCATCATAACGGCAGATCTTCATACGAATCGGCGCAAGTCCTTATCTAAACAAAATGCTGACCGATTAGAAGGCGGCAACTTTTTATTTTACAGTACTTGTCGCATTAATACTCTGACTTAATAGTTTTATATAATCGTAACTTATAACGACCGCGCCCAGACAGTCCAGTATCATTGTATAAGCTAGTTTTTCATTCATTGATACAATTATTGAGGGACAATAATTTGTACAAACGTTCTAGCAATGGTTTTTTGTAAAGATAAATCTACATTCAAATTATTCATAATACAAAAATGATTGTTACATGTAATATCAGCTGTATTATATGCCCAGAGTGCAATACGTTTTGTAAATCTAGACTCTTCCATATTTGCTAACTTTGACAAATACAAAGCAGTAAATTTCCATTGACGGACTATCGGTGGCTTCCACTTGGTGTGATCTTGCCAAAACCAAGAAAATAATAGCTGTTCTCTTTTATAAATTGCGTCAATACATGAATATGCACGATGTCCCCATCAAGGAGCAATGTAACTTACAACAGGCCAAACTATTGTTTCAAATAGTATCGTGAAAACATTGTATAGAAGTCTACCTTAACTTTTATATTTTGCAATAAGCAAACCTAACGCTCGACTGCACTTTGGGCCACAGTCTTAACGTCATCTGATTGGTCGTTTTTTTTTCCGGAAATTTACGTGTATATTTTCGGGAAATAAACCGACCAATCAAATGACGGTTGTTTACATTCGTCAAGATGGCGGTGTTTTATAGAAATTTCAATGGGGAATTATTTTGAAGCCGCAGGTGAGTTTATATCACATTGTCATTGTAGGTTATTGGTATATTTTGATTACTTTTATGTATTATTAATTGCCCAGCATGATAAATGCTTGTGCTATTATCTCCAACGATTGCAACAGTCGTGTAACTTTGTGTTTCCTGCGTAGCCACGATCGATGTCGACCTCGTAAAAATGAACAGTTTTTTGTTACTTTGACGGCCAGTACTCGTTAAGTATAAGAGATATTAGAAAAGTTTTACATTGGTTCGATAGATAAATCATTCGACTACAAATTGCATAATTCCTTTTTATTTATGCTGTATCGTGTAAAAAACTGCGAGGCAAAAAGCCTGATTGGGCATAGACACCTTCTTATGGGACTTGTTACCCCTTGTCTATATATTAGTATATAGTGTAATGGGAATGGACTTAGAATTCATTTCTGACTTAGTATAAATGTTTTCTACCATCAAATACATATTTTGTGAACATTCAATGAGCCGTACCCCTTTGGTGGAAGGAATGTATTTTTCAGACTGTAAAAATGAAACAAAAAAATTAAAGAGAGGATATTTGGTGATTGGTAATTTGAATGAATAGAAGTAAGTTACTGTAAGTTTTCTTCTTTTTATTACTTTTTACATATTAGTTATTTATCAATTTCAGGTTTGCTTTTCTTTAAACAGCCCGACATTGTCGGAATAGTCACCAAAAATAGAATTGAGGTACCACATAGGGAAAATCTTAAAAAAGTTGTTTCGTCATTGAAAAGTGTGAAATTATATTTTGATAATTTTCACTGTGAAATTATCAAATATAATTTTCACGGATAAATCAGTTATCCACTGAAAAGCATAAAATAAATAATTTTAATGATTCAAGCGATTTAAAAAGCAAGTAATTTAAGCTGTTTCTAAGATTGCTTAAGTTTGATGGTTGTTATGTTTGTTTCTTTTTATTGTTTCATTTACAAATCGTGTTGTTTTGAAATTAAGCATTAAATGATTCTTTAGTGCTTTTAGTGATTCAATCTGTAAATGTAGTTTCAAAGACAGTGTTTAAATGATCATGTTATTGCTTGCCCAGTTCAATTAAGCCAATCAAGTTAAGATATGATTTCTCCCGATAAATTAACCATTGTAGGCCTCGCTGGAAGGTTATCAAAGTCGTCCAACCAATTTTGAAGTAAGTTATTTGTTTTCCCTCTGTGTGATTTGAAATGTAAACCTTTTTCTCGCCAGTTTGTTGATAACCCAACATGTCCTGAAAGTAAGTAGTATATAGTATTGAATGTAAAATACAACAATAAGTCCTTAAATGTAAAGACTATACTTTATAAGCAAAGAATTACACATTCAAATCTAGAAAGATCGCACGCACGATCGAACGTTACAAGAACGCTTTACGGAACGAAACACGCAAACGCACGCAAAACGATATACGCTAAACGAAATACACTTAACGATATATGCACGCTTAAAGGAAACAAAATAAAAACGTTTCTGAATGTTAATAAAATATCATAATAGTGTCAGCTTTTAACAACTTTAGCTAGCTCGTTTAGCAATGTGTTTAAATGATGGATAGACATATATTTTAAACAAGTTTGTGTTAAAGCAGTAAAAATTAATTTTGTCTAAGCCTCAACAAATGATAAAAACGCGCTTATATTAAAAAATATATTTAACGGATTTGTCTTTAAGCGCATTTCTGAACCAAATACTTGCAAACTCAGAGGCATAATGTGCCTTTAAGTTTTTTTTTTCAATTACTGGTACGCATATAAACACATGTTTGCAGATTTGAATAGAAAAAATGTTGCAATTTAATGGTAATGAAATCCTAAGCGTATGTAAAATAGGATTTAACGTAAAGCACGTCAAAATCCAGCATTTACAATGAAATCACAAACTTTAATGTAAATATCACAAAAAAACATTTGTATAGTATAACATTTCTATTCTTCAAAAGATACACTGAACATATTTTAAACCATAAAGAAACTTGAAATTTAGAAAATAGAACTAATTAAGACATTATTTAACTTCTCAATAGTAACAGACGCAAAACATGGTACTGAAACGTTCAGACGAACGCAGAAGTACGCTAAACGCTTCTGGTGATAACACTAGCACGCTTTCAAACGCATGATAAACGAAAAACGATATATGAAAAACGATAAACGTTAAACGCTTGTGAACGATGCACGCTTCAGAAAGCGTTTTATCAAACGCATGTTGCACGATTTACTCATGCACGATATACGAAAAACGCACGCACGACAAACGCTTAGTTAGATAACCGAAACGTTCACCCTTGTGTAGATTTTCGTCGTGTCGGGAAACGCGCCAAACTGCGCTCGAATATCAATACAACATAATTATCACTTATTCACATTTCATCTTGAACTCTTCACATTCACATGTGCATGTGCTATTTGACAAAACGTCAAGAAATATGCAACACAGCACATTGTTTATTGTCGTTTTTTACGGCGCAATGATACAACATAGCAACAAGACTTAGCCAGCACATAGGCATGCTGCTACAAGAAGAAGATCAAGTGCCAAATATTCCATTTGAACCATTTTTGTTATCCCGACAACACGCCACGCGAGAATGAGCCGTTTGGCTTTTTTAGCTGGCGACAGGACGTTGAAAATACTGAAGCATTGTCATTGTGTCTCTTGACATCTTTCTGTGTTAAACAGGCTTCATACAATTTGATCACCTTTCAAAATTATCTTTGCATTCTCATATTGTGTTATGTTTAGGGCATAATTGTGGAGCTAGCTTTATTCAAAATAATATTGCGGTTGTGTCTAATCCTTGACCATTGCATAAGCAGGTGCTAATGGACTTAAACATTTGTCCCTAAATAGGGAAATTCAAATATAAATTACCGCCAACTGCGAATTGTTAAATTGTACTTGTTTTTCTTATGCAGTAAAACTTAATCGAACAAAACCTGCACTATTTTCATTTTTTTTCTGGCGATATTTGTTTATTTTATTCAGTTATTCAGCATCGTTGTTTGTTTCCTGAAAAGTTGTTCCAGACATTCAGAATAGTATGTTTTGCAATGTTATGTTATGCTGAATTATTCATGACTATCATTTTTAGTACAATCATATTTTCCTTTGATGGTTATTGGTAGTATTTGTTCTTGTATTGAACAATGTTTAGCCAGCATAATGATATATTGCTTGGTTTTGAAATGTGTTTGTCATTTTTATTCAATCTTCATAACTTCAAGAACTGTTTGCGACTTAAGCCACCTTCTACCTAATACATTAAACAGAAGACTTTCTTCTAAATTTAGCATTAATCTATCATGTATTGTGAATGTATATAATTCGTCGGGGAATCTTTATATATTTTATTGGATTTACCAAATAAAATTTGAGCATATTTAATTCCAACGATAATTACAATTATGCATAAATATCTACAATTAAAGCAGATACAGTTAAAATATCAATACAATTTTAAAACAAATGTGCATACAATATGCATCAATTTCTGTAAGCAAATATTGACATTCAACTTATTAGCAAATGTCATTAATAATAATAGTCTTACCTGGAATATTTGTATAAAGTGTGTACTCCGAGTTGATATATGCATGGTACATATGCCAAACTGTCCACACGTCAGTATTTGGTTGTTTCCTTCCAGAATACAACATACTTAATTTATTGTTTGGTATATACAGGCTTAATGTTTTATTATCGCAAACTGTTTTGAACCAGTTTTGAAAGTGAACCCAATTATCCCTTCTTGGTGAAAACCCCCACGATCCAATTACAGGATACAAAAACACACTGTCGCTGGATCCCAGAGGTGGCGGTGCATTATTTTTTATATGGTGCACCATAGACAATCTTTGTAAAGTATAACCATTAATGAAAGGATATGCATCGTACTTTTTATGAACGAGCTTAAGATACCTATAAAAAAACTTTGAAACGGTGAGATCATCTTCCAATACAACTGCAATCTCATAATTTTCTTTTTCTGGCCTCCAGGTAGAAATCCATTGTCCGAAAATACCAGCATGCTGGACACGAGAAATAACTTGATATTCTCCATACAAAAATATGAATGATTTTGCTGTTTTAACTGTTAATTCATCCAAAGTACCGCGCACTGACCTGTCTATCCAGACTTCCAACTTCACATTATCTCCGCTGTAGTCCGCGGCATTTAAGGAATCAAGTAATCTAAGAAGCGATTGATGCCTATTATAAACAATGACAATTATCCGTAAGTCATACCCGGCTTTGTTACATGAATGATAATCAATCAATCGCATTCGTGTACAGTATAATGGATCTATCATCGTTTTGTTTTCGAGGTGTATTTGTTGAGAATATGTTAAGCAATTACTCTTCGACTTTACCTGTTGGACATCCATTGTCTTAATTTTTAGCCATATTCTCAAAACATTAATAAAACATGCAATTAGCAAAATGTATCCAATTTTTCTTAAATGTTTAATATTCATTATTTGCATGCAATTCAAGCAAAGCAATACCTTAAAAACTACATACATCAAGTTTTACTAATTAATAATTGCTAAATTCTTAATTTAAAATTGAACCGCACATATATGACTTCGATATGACTTCGATATGACTTCGATTTGTAAAAGTTTTCTTAAGAAATGCATAAACATTTACATGTCTTAATCTTTATATAGGAATAAATTTACGTAGGCCTTTACTATGATACCTGGTTGGCTGAACACTTATTTTACGTAGACCTTGAAAAAATACCATAAACAATTAATCACAAAATGAATTTGATTTATTTTTTCACTTCAATTGGACAATCGTTAAATGTATAGGATACATAATATGTTTTCCGGAACATAATGAATTAAAATGAATTGAAAATTATCAAATTCAGGTCTTAATGTGGAATTTTGCTTAAAAAAAGATAATAAGTGTAAGCTGCTGTTCAGACTATAATTAAGCAAAATTAAATATTAAGACCTGAATTTGTCAATTTCAGTTAACATGACGTATGGTACCGACAAAGTTGAATGGGTGTGCCCTTAACGGAAACAAACCGTGGGCTTAACTTATGATGTGAAATTGTGAAAGGGGTTCAGAGGTTATAATGCCTGAATATAGCATTCTACACATACATGACGACTAAAAAAGCAAAAAACCCATATGATGGTGATTTTTTGGCATTAAAGTCGAAGCACTCGAACTTGTGAAGGTTCGATAAGAATACACTAAACACCATAAGCAAGAGTTATGTAAAATTTATCATTTTAAAAACTACTTATACATATATTGTTTTGATTAAACGTACGGGACGACATTTTAAAATGCCCACATAAAAACAATGATGTGACAATGAAATTAAATATAACGCAGAGAACAATCAAATGAATAACTGTTGCAGACTCGGTTTGAGTGAGCCTAGTCATGGACGAAACTATAAATTCCAAATTCCCCTAGAACAGCCTATGAAAAAGGAAATGCACGCACGTGTTCGTAACATTTCAAATTATGTCAACCAGAGACAAAAGCACATTTAAATATTTTTTTTTAATTTAATGAAAAACAGCAAAGTTAAGAGGAGTCATTTTTATTGTATAGGCTGACAGCACAATGTAGTAATATTAGCAATCTTTCTAAAGTTGGACCGAATGTACTTATTGGTGAAGAAAATCATATCATCATTTTACGTTTACTGTTTATGAATTATGCACATATAATATAACGCACACATACTCCTATGAAGACATATCACGTTAAACACTCTGTTGAGGACGCTTCGTTCTAAATGGTTTAATTAGAATAACTGCTTTTCGATCACAAACATATTTGTACACCACACTTATATTTTTTTAAATTTTAAATCATAGATACTGTAGTTACAAATAGACTAAAAAAACACTCTATTGAGACACACTTTATTTTGGACTTGTGGACATTATGTAAACTGGGGACACACTGGCTTTTGCGGACACAATGAAGAATGCATCCTTTCGAGGACAAGTCTGAAAACACATTTTCCCGTGGACGCTGTTAAGTCATAAATGAACTGGTAAGCTTTTGAGGATATAATAACTTCATAAAAAGAACACATCTCGGGATGTAAAATGTCTATAAATTTTGTAAAAAGAGGAGAGAGATATTTTATGATGAGGTATATTTTTGAAAATATATATATATTGCATTTTGTCTCCAGTTAGAGTGTTTGTAATAACCATTGCTCGGCAGGGGATATAAATTCAACAAATTTGCTTGTATATATATATAAACAATATCTTACTTAAAAGTGAAGTTTGAGCCTAAATAACCAACGTTCGTGCTAAAATATCCAATCTGTTGTAGATTTCCTCTCCACTTTTTCAAAAATAAATTTTATTTTCGTAGCCGTAATCTTATTTTCAGTATTCATCTATATCGGGGTCCTTAATTGTTAAGAAAGAGAGTTGGATGACGGCGTATACCCATATCCTGATATCATATTTTTTATTTTATTTGAAGAGCATATTAAAATTGTGTTTTTTTTTTCAAAATCATTCTGTTACGGACTATGTGAATTCCACATCTTAATTGACAATGATGGACTGACTTATATAAATAATGTACAGTGTATTACAGTTAAATACTGAGAACTGACACCTCTGTTGCCAAGTAACAAGCATTTATGTGCCATACTGTATATGGTGTTTTTGGAATTCAGTCTTCTGTACACATGTGTATTCCTCAGGTAAGTAATTCCAATGTTCATGAAGTTCCCTTGATGTCTTTCAATACATTCAAGCTTTACCAGCGTCAGTATTCTTTAGTCACAAAATAAAGGGATGAATTTCCACCAAGCTGATGTATAGGGGTAGGGCGCAGGGGTTCGAGAAAATGTTCAAGTTTCAAAAAAAAAAAAATGTTTCATCTCAAATCCAGTTGTTGTTGTTTTTCTTTTTCTTTTTTTTAATCCGGATCAACATGGCCCTATATCAACACGGTCCAAATTGAATTATATTTTACTGGTAATGATTACTTTTATTTGTTTTACATACTTTCATCATAACTTTTTATCACATTGTTTATCAATTTTACGGTAACAGAATTCTACTCAATGATATTTAATAGTTTTGTTGATGACATAACAAGTTTGTACGTGGATTTGTAAAGAGAAGAAGAATTTACAATTTAAATGCATGTTTTACCCACTTTTAACCCAGGTCAAGCTGGTATAGCGCATATTTGACCCTTTACCGTTTTCTTATATTATCGTAAAGCTATGTAGGAATATACTGGCTCGGAAAACTTGTATGAAACATTTCAATATAGTAATTCATTGTCATTAACTAAAAACAAAATACCCCGTTTGTACATCAAAATTATCACCAGTACAAATAATTCTTTACTTAAAAATACTGACCAACAACTTCTAGACTAGGTACTTTTTTTCTTATAGTATCTTGGAATAAGATTAGTTGCTTAAGGCTTGTTCTTATGTGATGATTTATTTCTACTCATCTACTTCACAAGTAGCTCTCTTTTAAGTGTAATTAAAAACGGAACAATAAAAAAGTAGCTTAACTACACTAAGATTAAAATTAAACAAAGGTATAAATAAAAGACAACTGGTCATTTGTTATATGTTACATTAGCAAAGGAAAACTGACATTCAGGTGTTACATAAAAGTATGTATGAGACACGCTCAGCTCTCTATTAACCATTTATTGCAGCATGAATGGAATGCTCCCATCATTGGCTTTTTACAGTGAACATTTTAGACCTGCCCAAAGTATTGGCTTTGTTTCCGGTTTTTTTTATATGTAATTATAATAATTATGTTGATCTGATATCGGTAAAATACAGTATCGACAATATTTGTCAAGCCGTAAATATGGTCAATATTACTTGCATTTGCATTTGCACTGAAATTCACTTAGTTTGTAAGGGTTGTTTTTCACGGTGGCATAAACACATTACTTGCTGAACAAAGTACATTTAATTCAAAGTTATATATTTACAGTGTACAAGCATCCCCTAATAAGATGTGGTTTGCCCATTATGAAAAAGTGGCATGGAGATTAGATATACATACTTCATGATATCTTTTTTAATTTAGATAATTCTTATTTTGATGAAATTGTGCCTGAAATTTATCGTTATGAATTTCTACTTAAGAAAACGAACATTGAAATTTTAGTACATCATTTTTGGATCTTCATAGTAAGATCAACAACAATTCTATTCACACGAAAATCTATGATAAAATAGTTGACTTTGACTTTTGTAAAGTTAATTATCCGCATTCAGTCTGAGATTTAACCCATGCGACATCTTACAGGGTATATGTTTCTCTGTTAATAAGATTTGCTAGAGCGTGTAGTTACGTGAAGGATTTAAACGAGCCGAAAATTTCATTACCAGCAAGCTTCTAAAACAGGGCCACCGATATCATAAATAACAAAACATTTTACAAATTTCACAATCTTAATTTTAACTTAATTTCAAAATTTAACACCGATTAAAACACTTCTGCGGCAAGAGATTTGCCAGCTTGGTTTCATAGCGATGCGATCTACAAACTTCGTAATATTTTGGGTCATTGTAATTTTACTGCAGTTTTTACTAAAATCATTAAACGTTTTATTAAAAGAGGTTATGTTCCTACTATTTAAAGACATACTGCATGCTAAGTGTTCAGCCCTTTTATAGTTGGAAACTACACTTGTTCTATAGATTACATCTGACGGACTAAGTGGCAGATTTTATGATGGACAGTTCGGAAAGCCCTTTGGGACTAAAATGACTTAATGCTCTTCTTCTGCCTTGCTTTGTCGGGGCCTTGTAGGTGAGTTTCTTGGTGCTCTGTCATTGAGTAATTTTGTTATTGGGTTTTCTTTAAATGTTTCTACATGATCATTTTGGGATTTTAATGATTTTAACTTTTGTAACCATAACAACTGTTAGAAATTCACTTGGCGGGGATTCATTTTATTTAAACTCCCCAGCAGAACTTATGCTGCCGACCGTTCCAAGGCGTTCCTCAGATGCATGCCTTATTGCTTCATACTGTTTTGGTGACAGTTTTGGTTGTGTCCCTTATTGTTTTCTCGTCTACGATTAGTATCTCCTTTATGCCCCTAGTTTTCTTTCTTAATTTCGCCAACTCCCCCTCCCTTCCCCGAATTTCCCATCCCCTTTCCTCTGTGCAATTTTGCTTAGTGGACCAATTAATCAATTATTTGATATATTTTATTTTGATTTCCTTGACGGTTACTATTTTTTTTAC